CATCAGAGAATCCACACAGGGGAAAAACCTTTTGAATGCTCAGAGTGCGGAAAGAGATTCAGTCAGAGTGGCTGTCTTCAACAGCATCGAAAAACCCACACAGGGGAGAAACCTTTTGAATGCTCAGAGTGTGGAAAGAGATTCTGTCACAGTGGCAGTCTTCAAGAGCATCAGAGAACCCACACAGGGGAGAAACCTTTTGAATGCTCAGAGTGTGGAAAGAGATTCAGTCGGAATAGCAGTCTTCAAGAGCATCAGAGAACCCACACAGGGGAGAAACCTTTTGAATGCTCAGAGTGTGGAAAGAGATTCAGTCAGAGTAGCACTCTTCAACTGCATCAGAGAACCCACACAGGTGAGAAACCTTTTGAATGCTCAGAGTGTGGAAAGAGATTCAGTCGGAATCACAGTCTTCAACGGCATCAGAGAACCCACACGGGAGAAACCTTTTGAATGCTCAGAGTGTGGAAAGAGATTCAGTCAGAGTGGCAGTCTTCATCAGCATCAGAGAACCCATACAGGGAAAAACCCTTTTGAGTTCTCAGTGTCTCGTTCCAGCACTGCCAGGCCCAGACTTGGGAGCCACCCCAAGAGAGACTGCCATGGCATGGATATGCAATCCCAATGAACAACGATTCCCCCCCCCGGCACCAAGGTCACTGACAAGCCATTGGCCATCAGCCTCCCGTACCACCGTGGCAGCTGTTGTTCTGGAGGGCCCAATGGGGCCAGGTTGAACAGGCAATGGCAGAAGCCCCAGAAGAACCAAGGATGGACCACAGTGGACAGAGGCTATGCCAGGGGGCAGCAGGTGGGGGAAGAACAGCATGGACTTTTGATCTTCTGGAATGGTAACTATAATTCCTGAAGCACCCTCCTTTTATTCTTGCCGCTTCCTGTGTTTGCAGTAGCCTTGTGTGTTTGCTTTACAGTGTGCATTTATTTCTGTATGAGTGTACTATTCTATTAGTGTTTTGCCTTTCAATAAAACAAACTTCCTGGTTAAACTACTTCCTGATCTATTCCTGAGAATTTCTCTAAGGGAAAAGTCCTGGTATACAATCGGTGGAGATCTCAGCAAGTTATCCTCTTCCCACTAAGCAAAAAGGTCTCCTCAGACCTAACCCCACCCCCCAATCGGGAGACCTCCCCTTAGGTGAACAGATAAATGATGGAAACATGGGCAGCACTCTGTGTCTCTGAGCAACATGGATTTGTGTAATCTGCCTTGAATCCAAGTGAGAATGGCGGTCTATAAATGACATAAATAAATAATGTCCGGCTGAGGCTCCCCATCTCCCCAAGCCCTGCCCTCTCCAAGGCTCAACCCCCACATCTCCAGGAATCCTTCAGTCTGAAACTGGCAACGCTAGGAAGGTCTGGCCCCCCATGAGTCCTCCCTCAAAGGCCAAAACAGCCTTGAAAAGGACCCTGCCACCTCCCCCTGCCTTTTACTCACAGAAACCCAGTGTGGAATGCTGTGCACAACTGCCCATATACTTGCCTTCTGAGTTGTGGCCCCCAACTTATGGAACAACCTGCCTGAGGAGGTCAGGAAGACTCCTAGTTTCCTGGCTTTCCGCAAACTATGCAAAACTGAATAACACAAGATGGCTTTTCTACACAGGCAATAGAGCTGCACTGAATGAAATGATTAACAAAGTTACTTGGACAAATTATTACAGACTGTGGCCTACTCTACTTCATATAACCTTCTGAAATTAGGATCTTACTATGTAATTTTGCATCATTTAATGTGGTTTACATTCTGTGTAATCCACCTTGAGTCCAAGTGAGAAAGGAACATCTATGGTCCTTTCCACACTCAGATCTCATCCCTGGTTTTGTCAGAGTTCAACTCACAACACAATACCTTGCATTTATACCTGGTTATAACAGCATTTGTTTATCCCAAGACAAGTGTGGGGCAAAACCAGTGTGACCTCAAATGTAATGCAGAAACAAAAAATACCCCAAGATAATTACAGGGATGAACTCGCGTCGCGTGTAGTGTAGAATGTAAGTTCAGGGACACGGTTGAACCAGGATTTAAAGTCTAGTGCGGAAAGGATCTATATGCCACCAGTGGGACACCATGAAGGGGCTCCACTGAAAGATCTGTACTCGGGGGTCATTTCGTAGAAAAAGAGGTGCAGGCACTCATTAGCATAATTTATTTGCATATGCCACACCCCCTGGCATCACCAGAAGTGTGTCAGAAGGCAACACCCACCACTCAGGCTCCACTGGACTGTTTTGAATTGCTAGCTATTGGGAGGGAACGTGCAGATCTGTCCTCGCAGAGGAGGGAGAGCTTGTACCTGAATCAAACTTGGTCTTAAAGATGCCACTGGACAGTTGGGGGGCGGGGGGGGGAGCTCTGCAACTTACCTGGCTGCTTCTTGCTCTGACTGAGGGCTGCTGGGAGCAGGGGGTGGGGCTTGTTGCATGTGCCTAGCCCACCCCCTGGGCTCTTAACTGCCGGAGCTCTGCTCCTGTGCGCTCCTGCAGGAAATGACCCCAGTCTGTACTCCTCATGAGGGTCTCGTTAGGGCCAATTGTGTAAATTCTATTGTCCTTCAGCAAACTGGACAGACCCATTTTACTACAGGAGGTGCTTGAAGGCCCGTCTGCTTCTTTGCATTCAAGATGAGATCCTGCTTCATGTGTTGCCAACCCAGGGTTAGAAAATTCCTGGAGCTCTCTCACTCTCTCTCTCTCTCTCTGTTGTGTGTGTGTGTAGAGATTGTGCACAATGGGGTTGTGGAAGGAAGGGACCTCAATAGGGTATAATGCCGTACAGTCAACCCTCCAAAGCAGCCATTTTCTCCAGGGGAACTGAGAACCAGCACAGTTCAGTGATTAAGAGTGGCAGACTCTAATCTGGAGAACTGGGTTTGATTCCCCCATTCCTTCACATGAAGCCTCCTGCGTGACCTTAAGCCATCCGGGCTCAGATCGCTAGAATTCTTCCTCTGACTTTCCTATCAGTCTGGAGTTCTTCTACAAGTAAGAACTTCCAAAGCAGCAAGACTTGTGTGAACTTCATCCCTAATGCACCTTCCCTCCCCCCCTCCCCACTTTGTGAAGCACAAACAGGTTTGAACTAACCAGCTCTGTCAACCTATGATTATCCAAATCAGCTTAATTGATTCTCCTCTTCATCGGAGCTCAAGCGATTTCCTCAAAGGTTGCCTCACGTAAACATCAGACTCAAAAGCGACATGATGTAATCCTGTAGCAAGCCCGCAAAACAAGAGCATAAATGCTTCCTGTATCTCAGAGAGTGAGTCTGGGCCGAGATGGAAGGCAGGTGGGGACTTGGTCAGTGTGAGGCTCGATATTGTCTCCTGTGGGTCTTAAGCAAGGGCTGTGTTCAGTTTGAATCAGCGAAGGCACTGGAGCCTCAATCCCGTAATAGGTGGGGTTTGCGTTCAATGCTCCCTCTAAGCTGCGGAGTCCTGTGAGCAAAAATTCTACTTTTGTGAGCTACCGGCATTAAAGTTGTGAGCAAGTGATTTGGCTGCTGCATGAATTAGTTTGCTCTGGAGCCCTCCTTCCTGAGCGAAAAACTAAAATGTGTGAGCCGGAGGCTAAAACACTGTGAGCTCACTCACACTAGCTCAGCTTAGAGGGAACACTGGTTGCTTTCTTTTTTTTTTTTAATCTACCGGCCCTGACTTAGGGAGCCCAGTCTAACGCAGGACTGTCAGATTTTGGAAGCTAGAGGATCAAACCGTTTACATTGTGTCCCATTTGATTCAGACTTCTTCAAGCTATTCGGCTACGTCTCTGTTCCTGTTACGGTCACTGCACCATTGAATTTTACTGGTTTTTTGGAAGAAGGTCTCTAGACCTCTTGACAAAGATTTTGTTCTGAAATGGCTCATATAAGGCCACA